CGCAATCATATATAGGTTTGAACGTTGTTTTCAATTTAGACTTGTTTATATATTTTTTCGTTTGGGCTTGTATTATAATTTCCTTCGGGTTTATATGATCCGTCCAACCTATTTCGACTCTTTAAAATTCAAGAGTCTATCCTAAATTGAGGTAAATTATATGGCCTTCTAAATATCGTTTCGATCTCTAACATCACTGAAGAGACATAAATTGTCGAAATCCGGATATGGTGTACTTATTTTTGCACCTCATGTTTTCGGTATACCATCTTTTCCGCAAGTTTATTGTTTTCTGTTTGGTAATAAATAAAATAATAAGATCCATTTTGTTACATCTTGTGATCCGTTTATTTGGCAATCGCCAATGGCAGTCAGCAGGGTTTAAGAACATCAGTTGTTCGACCTGCTAGTCAAATGCGTTTTGTTAAAATATACTTTTTCACATTTTTTGGTCTTTTAGGAAATGTTGTTTGTGCTGTATTTAGACCCCTCTACCAGAAATTTGGTTTGCATGCACACGTATAAAAATTGCTGTTTTTATCCAACGCAATCATAGGTTTGAACGTTGTTTTCAGTTAAGACTTGTTTACATATTTTTTCGTTTAGGCTTGTATTATATTTTCCTTCGGGTTTATATGATGCGTCCAACCTATTTCGACTCTTTACAATTCAAGAGTCTATCCTAAATTGAGGTAAATTATATGGCCTTCCAAATACCGTTTCGATCCCTAACATCACTGAAGAGACATTGATTGTCGAAATCCGTATATGGTGTACAAATTTTTGCACCTCATGTTTGCGGTATACCATCTTTTCTGCAAGTTTATTGTTTTCTGTTTGGTAATAAATTAAATAATAAGATCCATTTTGTTACATCTTGTGATCCGTTTATTTGGCAATCGCAAATGGCAGTCAGCAGGGTTTAAGAACATCAGTTGTTCGACCTGCTAGTCAAATGCGTTTTGTTAAAATATACTTTTTCACATTTTTTGGTCTTTTGGGAAATGTTGTTTGTGCTGTATTTAGACCCCTCTACCAAGAAATTTGTTTTGCATGCACACGTATAAAAATTGCTGTTTTTATCCAACGCAATCATAGGTTTGAAAGTTGTTTTCAATTTAGACTTGTTTATATATATAATGTACACGTGCAGTGATTACATGTTAGAATTTCAATATGTTTGCAACAAAATTGTTGATTACTGTACCACACATTTCAGTTGACTAATATATCTCCATGGAAATACCTATACTTGATATATTATTGAGATTGACAAGATTAAAACAGATGCTTCAGGTTATGCTCATCCGTTTCTATTTTTCAGATTTGTAAATTGAAACTAATCAATTGGTTTAAGACTGTACGAAAACATTCAGGTAGTCGTTCTTCGATTATTGTTTTGGGGTTATTTTTGTAATAGTTTGAAAAAGATTTTTTTTTTTTTAACAGTTGATATGCATTTTAATAATTACGTTTAACTTGGACGCTTTCGTGGTCATTTTATACAAAATAGCTATTAATACCGCTTGGTTCAGCATGTATGATATTAAGGTTTAAACCACCAAAGCACAAACGTTACATGCGAGTTCATGACAATCATATGAAATCATGCTAACGGACACTCTAATATTGGCGATTGTACTTAAGCGTACTTTTTGTTTTGCGACGGTTGGTGTTCTGTAGCAATTAGATGTTGGTAAGTAAACGATGTACTAAAGTACAAACAGTTCGGTTTTTTTTCTTTGAAATATCACAGTTATCTCTCTTCATTCATGATATATGCCAGCTACGCCCTTGCTGAATATATACTACTTTAAATACCATTTAACAAAAATAATAAAATAATTTAGATAACTTATTCAATTGATAACGCAAACAAGTTTAATAATTGACTTTTTATCTCTCATATGGATGTCATATACTAACTGATGATATTTTATTTTTAAAATAATGTTGTTCAATATTACGAAATGAATATAGTTACATTGAATTTCACATAATCTATACTTTGACTCACGACTTGATGTTTCAATTGTTCTGCATAAAAACTTTCAGCACAAATTTGCCAAAGCGGTTCTCCAAAGGTTGTGCGTTTTTTTTTTTTTTTCTTTTTTTTTTTCTTTTTTTTTTTTGCACCATTCATTTATATGCTGCATTCTTTAGTGCGTTTTTTCCCGTCATAATGAGCGGTGTCTCTCATTTTTCTATATAGCAATTGATGTATCGATAGAAGTTCGAATGATGCAAATAGATAACATAAAGGTGTAATACCACCAAACCATAGTACGTCATACAATGTATCCCTTGAATTTGACAGCTGAAGGAAGTTAACCCTGCATTTCATTGCAGAAAAAAATTGTAAGTCATATGCATATGTCTTGGGTGTTTCAAAGCACCATCCTTTTTTATTTGGTGTTTCTTTAAAATATTTTGGAAACTTGAGGATACATGGTTACTAAAGCTAGTAAACAGGAAAAAGGGGGTGATTGGTTAACTTCCAGTGATGGTTATTATCTTATATGCAATGAAATGTTATGTGACAATTTAATAAAGTCTATGGGGGAAATCAATGATGGTATTACTCCTAAAAAGATGCTATCTTAATACTTGCCACATGGACATACTTCACATTAACCTGTTTTCCTTCCTCGTCACTATAAGAATACAATTCAGGGGGAAATAAAATAATGGGCTTTATATTCACTCATGTTGTACCGGTCTCTCTTTTCGTCTTATTATGCCTATAATAGGTAAGAATACAAATCAGTTTAAGGAAATAAGTCATTGCGAACGAATATACATTGGTATGCTTTTTCTGGGGTATGAGTATGTAAGAGACCAAAGGGGTGCCCTTATAATGCCGAAGGTCTACCAATTTCCCTCTTTGATTTTTAAGACATTTTTGATTTATATGAAACTATTTCGTCTGCAGCAATAACATTTATCCTTAGTATTTTAAACATGGGAATTTTTTTTATTTTTTATTGCAGCTTTTTTTTCATTTTTTTTCTTTCATTTATGCTCATGGCGTATATTCTTATTTTATTTAGACTCCTAACAAACATCACGCAATTAAAGGCATCTACAAATTAGATCATATAGCCCAACCACAATCCTAGCTATATTTTTGAGAACAAAAAAGTAGAAACAAACTATTTCCTCAATTAATTACTTGGTGTATATCGGAATAGATCTGTAGCCGACACTCTTTATGGAGCCCGTAGGTAGCCAGTTTAAACGTAAAACTCTAGTCTCTACCAAACACACAATTTTCCATATTATTCCAGTGGCAGTCAAATTGTCCGTTCTTCATCTCGTTTGACACAATTTACAAAACCTACAACTTTGTTTTTATTCATTTGTTCTTTTCCTGAATATGCATTTCCATTTGAAATTATATCAGCTAAATTCGGTCCTTTCGTTGCTTATCGCCATCGTTAACACTAAAAGAGAGGCCGCCATCGTTAACACTAAAAGAGAGGCGGAAGGTATCAAACGGATATTCAAACTCATAAGTCAAAAACGAACAGACAATGTAATAGTAAAAAAACGAAAAGCTACCAAAATACTAACAACAGTCTAAAAACAAAACAAATAAAGAATGAGCAAGGGAATCCCACCAAACACCGGTGATGATCTCATGTGGTGTTCAAGAAGGGTAAGCAGATCCTGCTCCACATGTGGCATGATTGACCAACAACTTACATGTACCACGACATCAATCAGACCAGAATTCCTTTCTTTAAAAAGAACTTCCTCTCGATATATGTACAAGGTATAAGGTTTACAAGAAAAAAAATATCTAGAGGTCTTTCGAGCAAAAAAAATGCAACTAAAGACAAATATTCACATCAAGTGGAATATGCTGGATGCATTGTGTTAATTTACTGCATGAGAAGTGGACTTCTGTTTAACCTCGCCACTTTCTTTACATGCATGTGCTGTCCAAAGTCAGGAGCCTGTAACTCATTGGTTGGTGTAAGTTGCTGTCTATCTATTTTTGTTCCTTTGTTGTTTTAGCATAAACCATGCTGTTGTTTTTCTCTAATGAATTGTTTTAGTTTTTTCTCTAATGAGTTGTTATAGTTTTCTCCAATGAATTGTTATAGTTTTCTCTAATGAATCCTTATAGAGTTTTCTCCAATGAATTGTTTTAGTTTAGTCTAATGAATTGTTTTAGTTTTCTCTAATGAATTGTTATAGTTTTCTCTAAGGAATTGTTATAGTTTTCTCTAATGAATTGTTTTAGTTTTCTCTAATGAATTGTTATTATTTTCTCTTATGAATTGTTATAGTTTTCTCTAATGAATTGTTATAGTTTTCTCTAATGAATTGTTATAGTTTTCTCTAATGAGTTGCCCTGCCGGTGCCTTATATACCTGACTATACGGTATGTGTTTTGTTCATTATCAGCTATGTCGTACAGTTCCCTATTTATAAAATAATATAATTGTTTACACCCTTGTCTCTTTGGTCTCTGGTTGATAATTATCTCATTGGCAATCATACCACATCTCCTTTATTTATATTTTTAAGCAACCAATTCACAAAACGTGCCTCCTTTGGGGGCTTATCTCTATATATCAACAGGCTGTACACACTGCATGGTTAACAGAAATAAATCAAATGATGTTCAATAGATACAGAACTAAGGAATTTTACCAGGATAAACCGCTCACATTTTGATTGTTAATTTTGAGACCCCTTAAAGTAAAGAGAAGAGCACATATTTAATGGCATACTCATACAATGACGGATCTATATTGTTTTAATTAAAGGGGTACTGAATATGGAAAACATTTTTCACAACTCTAAATGTTGAATTTTGCACCCCTCCCCCAAAAACATTAAACATTAGACACAGTATTTACATGTAAACAACCGATTCTTCCTGAAACTTCACAATAAATGGTGCAGTCACTCAATCGTTTCTCTTTAAATAAAATGCAGCGAGGGTTTAAATTATAGATACATTTATAGAAAATTTTATATGACACATCTTCTCCAATATCTCACATAAAAGCGGCGTCATTTATTTTTAGTACATTATATCATGTTACATATCATTTTTTGATAAACATATTCAGCTCCTGGTAATACAGTTCTAATTTTTTAATTAATTAATTTTAAAAATCATTCTCTAATGTGTGTGACAATCTAAAGTTAATAATTTGATGTTTTATGCGAGGTTAACTAATAGGCTCCTCTTCAAGTCGAACAGATTGTTCGATTCCGAATCTAAATTTACAGTTCCCTTCAATATCCCAGGTTATTGTTCTGTTCTCGACCACAAATCCTTTTGACCCATTTTTAGCTTCGTCTTTCATCATTTCTGAAAAATCTCCTTCCACAGACTGAATGAACGCATTGTTATCCTTTAGATTTGTGATCGAGACAAAAACAATCCCGCGTACTTTCACATTCATTTTGTAACTTGCGGTAAATTCTTTTTCCTTTACTTCCATGACAGCCGTTGTTTTGGTCTTTTTCGGCACCTTCACTGTACTATTAACGGCCCAAGTTAACGATTTCTCATTAGTATCTTCAAATCCGGTTTCCATAGTCGTCTCTCTTCCGAAACCAGCAGTGATACCTGCTACTTCATCCGGAAGTCCGAGTTTCAGCTCTACATTAAAACCTTTCGTAAAACCTTTGGTTATATTGGTCGTACTAACGCATGTTGTTGTTCTCTCTGTTTGGAAAGAATGCTCCTGCTCAGAATCCGTATTATTTTGAAAGGTGGACTGAAAAACGACTTGTACTGTTGGCACATCTTCCATCTTTTTATCTAAGTATTCCTCTCCCTCAGAAACGAAGCGGACCCTGGACCAATTCACATCAAGTCTCACATCATCATATTTTAATTTACTGAGTTCTTTTGACCGTGTTTTCATGAATGCAGTCCATGCCCAGGTCTTGGCGATTTCTTCCAAGTCTAATAAGTTAGACATTTCGGTCCTGAAAAAAGAAGCAATTGATAGATAGAACGAGATGATTTGTTTAATATACAAAAGTTAAAGACCACTATTAGATTTTTATTATGTTACTTTGTTTCAACTGAACATGTACTTTCGTTTGCTAGTACACAATGAGTTGGTATATCTGTATCTTGCTATACCTTGACGATAGGTCAAACTGATTAATACCCAAAACAAATCAATGAAACAAAAGAGTATTTGTTGTTTATAAATAATAATGATAAGACGAAAAATTTTGTTTTTACTAAAAAATGGCTTCTTTCAATGTAAACAAGTTATGTTTATTTATGCGTCGTTTTATTTTCAATGCAGCTACTAACGATGAAGGTACATGTACCAAGTAATTCATTTAATTCATATTAAAAGGGCTTAATATTATAGTTTTGTTTTATTCGCATGTTGATTTAGAAATAGTTTCTTCAACTAATTTTACGGCCGTCCCATTTAAAAAGCAGTTGTGCAGGATTTATCAAATACGTTATCCGTGCTGGGAGGGGGTTAGGCTTCTTAAACGAAAACAACCCCTCCAATATCCCCAGTTATGAATGAGATCATAATAATGTGACAGGTGCTGAGGCTAATATATACGACCCTACATAAGTGACCATTCATATATTTCCGGTTACAGCTTCGTTTCTCCCCCTCCCCGTTTTGTGGAGCATAAAACGCATGTTTGTTGTTTCAGTATACTGCATATCATCAATTTCAAATGCATAGGCTTGATCTAGCAGAGCTAAATGGATTGACCATTTTCATTCTGAGGGGTGGGGCATAAAGATATTGGAGATGAATATTCTGGTTTGATCATTACTGGGGGAACTATGCCAAAGATAGGATGAAAATTACTATTATGTGTAATAAAATGTAAGACATAGCCACCTTAAAAAACAAATCAAATCAAATCAAGTAGTGGTTCCCTTATGTTTGAAATGTTTGTCAATTTGTAAGTTTAATTTACTTACGTGTACTTACCCATTTTGTGTTGTTGGGGCGTACAACACTAATAATCAATCAATCATATGCCAGATGAATTTCATACAACCACAAAGAATTAATAAAACTGTTATAACGAAGTTTACATGACAAATGTCATAAAATATTAATTTGACTATTGTTTTGACAACAAGAATCTGACAAGCGTAAGAAATCCCGTCAGTCAGAGTTATATTTTTTTACATTTTGCATGTAGGCGACCCGACCTTTTGTACGTGCAATTGTAAACGGGACATTTGACAATTATATTTTATATTAATTATTATAAATAAATATACTCCGTTCATGTAGGTGTAATCATCATTAAACTTTTTGGGTAATTTTTAACAATTTATTCCATTTTTTTTTGGCTAGTTTCTAATTTGGGTCCTACGTGTATCCATTGACATTTTATTGTTTTGTAAACAAAAATTAAAAAACATGTTTGAAATAACAGGTGGTGGGCACAGATATGGACGGAATGATTTCAGGTCTCGTTTTAACTTAAATTGTACAAGTGTTGTTTTATTACATAACGAATGACGCAAATTTTGCTTTTGGACAATAAATATTTTATGATTACAAATTATTAACATTTTAGAACTTAATACGTAATTACAGAAGACTAATGATAATTCGATCCATAGAATTTTATTTCTATGTTAAACTTTCAAATGTTGTTTACACAAAATATTATGGGATTCTTTTACTTCAATGATTGAAAAATAAACATGACGGACAAAATAAAGATTATATTCATCATTGTAAAATAATTGAAAATATTTGAAGTGTGAACCAGTAAACAGATTAACAACTTTTATTTTCTTTTAAATTTTATGGCGTGGTTGTAAAATGTTCATAATAATTATTGTATGACTCTTTTGTGTACTGCATATGGAAAAATGTCACGTATTCGTAAGAAAAAAAAGGAAATTTTCAGAACATTAAGCAACATTCGATAGTATGCCACCACCCCTCCCCACTTTTCCCTAAAATAAAATAAAATGAAATAAAAAAAAATGTATTGTACAAGTTTGAAACTTAACATTCGCTGAAATCAAAGAGTAACACTATACTAACGAATAAATCGGAACGCAATGACAAGCATTTTGAAACCTAGGGTCTTAATGCCGGATACACAAAGGCCATTGGTGGTTTTTGGATGTGAGCCGATGGGGCGATTTATTCATGAACATGTAAAGTGTGCAATAATCACCACACAGAGTTAAACAGATACATGAACAGTACATTGTAAAGTCCTAACTGGCTAGACTTACTATAACACGTCCATGCTAAGTATAACATGTACCAGTGTGAGAATGAAACATAATTATGAAATAATGATCTGTATTGATTGATAACATTCCTATAATGATTAGTTACAGCGTTGTAATTGACATACCGGGTGTTAATTACCTTACTCATACTGTAATTGATTAAGTTATAGTGATGTATCGACATATTGAACAACATATTGTATGTTTTCACAGATATCTGTATAGCTTGGGAATTGTATTTCCGTCCAGTGAATCATATTTTAATTTTGTATGATATAATTATGTCTTATATAGTAATATCTTCTTTGTTGGCCCATTTAATTAATGGAAAAATAAAATATCTTATTCTATAAAGCAATCAATTTCGACGGCAAGGGAAGACAGTCTATTAAGATAGATATAACGCTGTAAAAATATACAAATGCGATTGATGATGATGTATTGGGTGATTAACGCCCAGTTGCAAATATCACATACATTTCAGGACGAGAACATGAACCCTGCTTTGTAAAATGTACGAGAACGGCACTCCACCACGAGACCACAAAGGCGTTCAAATGCATGTTTGTATCGATCAGTAAGTACACACCAAAAGTAAAAAAACATGATACATGCACATTATATATGTACATGAAGAGGGATTGATTGGTTGATTGTTGATGTTTTAGCGCCACTTTTAAGCGCCACATTTGGGCTATTTCGTGGCGGCCATTTTTTATTGGTGGAGGAAGCCGGAGTGCGCGGAGAAAACCACCGACCTTCGATAGGAAAACTGACAATCCTAGTCAATTAAGATTGGATTCGAGTGCACCCGCACGAGCGGGGTTCGAACTCACAACCTCAGTGTTGACTGGCTAGTGATTACAGTAGTAGAACTACTTAGACCACTTGGCCACCAAGGCCCCTTACATGAAGAGGGATATATACTGCGCAGTATTATCCAAGTTTACTCACAGTGTTTATTTATTTTCCTTGACAGTATGGAACGTTTGTGCTTTTACATTTTGTCAGAAGTAAGAAAACGTTATCAATACCATTGACACTTGTTGTGGACGATCATTCGCCATCAAATTTGTACCATTATTCAATGGTTGTGGTGGAGTGTGTGTGGGTTGGGGCAAAAAAGTTTGAGGTGCACATTTCTTCCTAACGTTTTTGTTACTTTACAAAATTATTCTGTTCGGTACCTCATTCTTATTTCTTAATCAAAATTGTTGAGTCTAAAAATTTAGTAAGCCTTTTTTTCCCCTTGTAACCCGGCATTATTTACAAAATGACGTTGTAAACTGATAAAAACCATAATCATAAGATGTGACTAATATGGACAACAATGAACGAATTTAGAAAATTGCATCGTTAATATCCATCACAAATTACTATTGGCAAAAGAATTATTTACACTAAAGTAATTTAATAACCTCTCTCCTTTATTGAGAAATTGGATTGTTTGTGATAAAGAGAATGGAATGTATTTGTTCATTCCGGAGACCAATAACTGGAGAAAAGACGATTTGTTTTATATAGTGAACCTTCAAAAGATCGTTCTGATCAATAAATGATCGCATGCTAGGAAAAGATTTCTGTGATCTGGGATTTCATTTTCATCTTAATGTAATTTTGAATATCTGTCAAGGGGTTAAATGGTAAATGAACGACAATCAAAATACATTCTTACTTAAAAGGAAAATGAATGTATGGTAAGATGATTTTGAGATAGAAATCGACTTTTCCGTAAGTTATTTTTCATATACCATGACTATCACGTTTTCATATAAACAATAAATATCGACAAGCGAAGAGTTAAAAAAGCCCCCCCCCCCCTTATCCCTTATTTTTCATCTCAGACAAAATCTGTATAAAATCTCTTAGATGTTTAAAGCGAGAAGACAATTTTAGAACATTATTACTTCCATGCCACATTAATTAAAGAGAAGAATTTGTAAGAAAGGATAAAACAAAATGTTTGACATATTTTGAACAGGAAGATGTGCTGATCGTGTGTATATAATTAGTTTTCCTTTCCTTGTTAATGAACCGCATCAACGTTTTATAGTGGAAGTCTGTACTTCATTATTTCCTGTGTGTTTACAATATGAATTATTAGGTTTGCATAGAAGTAGGTCTTCTCGGTATTATTAGTAAACATACATAGAACATTCATTTGTATTTTATATATATATATATATATATACATATGTACACTAAAGAGAGCACATTATATTTGATTAAAGGGGGATAAGGTGAGGGTCTAGCCTTGTTAAAAGTCTGAAAAATGAAGGGGTACTACATGTACTTTCAGTTTATATATTGGAAGATACACAAAAGGAAAGAGAGGAGAGATTAGAGCCTGATATCTGATACAATGATGATGACATATAGCAAAGCGAAACAAATTATATAATCCTTTGTATTTCTAACAATTTACATTGCATGCGACGTAAAACAAAACGAAACCAATCATTACAATCTGGAAATGTAAAACAATCTATAAAAAATTATCATACACAATATCTTGAAATTTGGTCCTTGGGTATTATATCATTTAACCACTTTGCCAAAAGCAACATTTTTAATAGCGTACAACATAATCGTCTTCACTCAACCGTTTTCTCACTTTTGTTTCAAGCAAAATACATACTATCCCCTGAGACTGTGACAATCAGTAATATATAAAAGTGTCATTATGTATATGTTGCACCAGGTGTAAAAGATAATTAATATACTACAACAAAGACAAAAAGGGGTATGTCTACTGTGCATCTCTTTAAAGCATAAAACTCAAGCTGTGGTGTTAAAAATAACAGCAAATAATTATAATAATTGATTCTTAATTCATATAAGTTTTCCTATTCTTTCCGATTTCGAATTCACCAACCACTCAGATAACATCAAAAGGTGGAATTAACTTCTCTTTTAAACTGAATTTATCCCTCTAAAATGTGTTTAAATAATGACAAAAATAAGCATATTAATTTTAAAATGCATGTGTGCACATCCTTGCGAAAAAAAAGTTTCATTAAATTCAAAACGTCGGTAAAGCGTTCAGAATGCCGAACCTGTCAAACTGAGTGTAGACAGATGAAGCAATTTAAAAAAATTGAAATATTTCGGTTATTGTTTGAAATATTTTTTATTGTTCATATAATGCGCTTTATTCTAATATTTAAATATTTATACTTATCAAAAGGCTTTTATAAAACCAAGTATCATAAATAGACAAAACAAGACAGCCGCCATTGTGAATATATTTGGATTATTCAATAATCACACGGAAATATCTGCTTGAAAATTTGTAGTGTTTTAAGTCCCATGTAAAAGTGTTAAAATAAACCTATTTAAAAGGAAATAATTTGTAGATATGGGTAACAGTAATGATAATGGTAGCGATATAAAAATATAAGGACATTTTATAATGAATTGACAACAAACGGGGAAATGGAAAACATGGAAGCCCGACATTTTCCTCGCATTTTAAATAACTAGTATCCGTGCTAAACGCAGAGCAAACTAGCTCATTATATTTTTTTTTCTTTTGATAAATCAATTCGCATTTAATAATCAATGATTTCATCCCCCGGCCTATAATTTCTAAAAAAAAAAGTCTCCACCCTTTTTTTCCAAAACGGAAAACACATACAACACTAGAAATGTTTTACTTCATTTTCAAGAAGATACGTTCTGATATGTTTTGATCATTAGATGGAGATGAAGTATTCTTACCTTTATATGTAATTACCGACAAAGTTTACTGATCCAGGAAAAAATCCGATGTAACAGCTGAATATGGATGATGATGACTGATAAAACGAATTGCGATTGGTCGAGAGTAATCACATGACTTTGAGTATTGATTCGTCTGGCAGGTAATTTTTGCCAGGTGATTTATTTGTTTAATAATCGCAGATGGTTTAATTAATTATTTATCAATAAACTGTAGAAATCGTCACGATTTTCATTTTAATTATTTGAAAATTAATTGACGAAATACATAAAATACAGCATGTAGCTATGAAATTTACGTACTTATTACAAATTATACTTTCAAAATATTTATCGATTATAAGATACTTAACGACCAGCGGTCACGGCAGCATTTAAAATTGTACACCCTGAACGACAAACGGCGATTTCTGTAATATTCAAAGATTAGAAACATCAGGCACGTATGTCTCTGATGCTGATTGTTTGGGGTCATGACAATCACTCTGACCTCAAATAGTCAAACTAAGATCACATGCTCGACTTTTAACGTGTTAAAAGGAATTTTTGTTTTACAAAAGTCTTGTGCGTCGGGATTAGATGTAAACAGATGCAGCAGTACAGCAAGTTTATAGGTGTTGGAGAGCGTTTGGTGTTGGGCTGATATAAAATGGTAAAACAATGTAAAGTTTCTATAGGACAGTCGTAATACCAATCTACCGTTACAAATACTTATAAAATTACCCAAAACAGGGCTTCATTTCAAAGTCAATTGACATGGACCGTCATTTTGACAAGATACTTTTTAAATACTGCTACATGTACTATAAACTAAGAGTGCAAGCTTTACAGATCTAGAAGTACACTTATGTTTATACAATTATATGTCCCATAATCTATGCTAGCTATACAAATGTATATAGTACATAGACGATGTCCACTCATTAAATAATTATTAAAAAGTCGGTGAGGTTCTTTATCGCATCCATATCCTTTTTATGATCTAGAGCACAATGACGATGACGGAAGGGTACAATTCTTAATTAGAAAGGAAATAAGTTTATTTTCCCCTGAATAAACTTAGATAAATCACGGAACATTCCGGTAGCACTTGAAACGATTTCTAACGTACGTTGATACTTTCCAAGAGTTTGTATACATAATGTTGCTTCTATATATGCTTGCGGGAAAACTATTGAACCAAGAGTTCATTATGATAATATCTCAGTTATTTCTTCTCGAGTTTTACTGTCACCATGCTGACGTTTACTTTACACTATATAGTCAAGCGAGCTTTTAAATGAAGCTTATCTTTATGTTATGGAATTATCCTTAGCATCAAACTGCATTTTAACGAAGTAATTTAATTGTAGGAAATGTGGCATGATTGTAATTACAACTATCCGTAAAGACAAAAGATAAAATATGTGACCAATTAGACTGCTGCTGATAAACGTCTTTTAAGTGTTTCAACTACATGAAAATGGCCTGTTGGAGTGCAGAGTTGTTTACGCTACCATACCCTAATTTCCAATAGCTTACACTATTGCCAGACTGTGCTTACACTTCATTTCTTATTAAATTATGATATTTCAACTATTGCGTGATTTGATCCTGTACTTGTGCTTAACAAGTAACAATTATTCAATTGTGAATATCTTCAAAAACTATATCGCAGCTGTTGTTCGTTTGAGATAGCTTGGCCAAGATATGCGAATGATCGACAACCCGCTTATTCTGGGATTGACACCTTTCGGTCGATTAGGGTCAACACTTATGCTTAATAAGGCGACCGATTGACAGCTTATTTGTTGTTTAACGTCCAGTGACAGATATTTCATTCATATATGATAAAATATTACAATAGAATCTTATAAAAGATGAATTGGTTGGGTAATTTTGATAACCACTTGATTCAGTTATTAGACAGTTCCCCTAACGTGTCACTTTCGGGTCCTAAAAGTTGTTTAAAAGGATCCATACATGTTTTTGAGGGGTGACATCAGATACATGTAGCTACAAGGCTATCATGAATTCGACTAGTACCCGGCCGTTAATTTTTATCTGATAAGTTTGGTAATACCGAAGACATACCAAATAGTTTACGGAGGGAACCAACCCAATCACGAATAAGACTACTCAGTGGATATGATACTTTTGCATTTCTCATAACGGACGTCTTGTGCAGCACGGGTCTTTCAGCCGAACGGAAGATGACCAAGTAACAATACTAATACTACACTAAATCCCAAATAACCATCAATTGGATTTCAACGAAACTATGTTGACATATTGTATTTACTCACCAGGTGTATACCATTCCAAATCTATATATGTAGATAAGGAAACCGTGGTTTATCAAAAATTGCGGCAATCGGAGATTTAATCTTCAAATAAAATTGTCATAACGAGATTTAATTCATCTATACATGGTATTTAACGATTGACACAGATTACAGAAGAATTTTCTACAAATTATATATTTACATGTAGCAAATGGTCATGCAATGATTCATATTGACCTTATTTTAAATCTTGTGAACTATATATCTAGCCTAAGGTCATTTTTTGTTTTAATCATTATCACTTACAAAAAAGGCCGAATATGAATATACGGTGTAACCATCACAAGACTCAAGCATGACTGACAAAATGTGATATGGAAAATGTTACCCTTACATTAAGCAATAGTATAACTTTTTTATAAGATAACGTTTAAACGTAAAGCTACAAATATATACTTCAGAAAATTCAATATTGTGAAAATATCAATACAATCAAAATGTTATCTAGCTTTGCGCATTGCTGCTGAAGACGAGTCGTTGAAATTAAAAAAATTGTGGAAGAAATTTGGAACCAAATATAATAAATTAATGCATGTATCTAAATTAAATGTCCTTTTCATTTCGCCACAAGATGAATTATAAAAAAGCTTGAAATACTCTAATATGCTAAAATGTTGTTAGGACCTTATTGCATTCGTTAAAATGAAGTCATGTTACTTTGAATTAAAGTATACAATTTCAAGAATTGTTTGAAATGAATTTCCTGATCATTTATCATAGAGGATACCCTTCTTATCTGGGACTAATTGATCCTTGTACCCGTATTCGTCTAAGTCATCCTGAGTATAAGAGAAGTACAAATCATAATTCTTATTACGTTACATTTTTTTTTCGTTTTAAGGAATATTTTAAAAATCAATGTGCCGAATGACTAAATCGAGAAATGTCTAATTTTAAATTTGAAGATGTAAGCAGGAAACTCGGTGATTACGGCATTGTAGTTACATTTTACAAAACTGTATTCCTCGTTTAAAGATGTCACTAAACTTTTACATTTTAGCAGATCAAATTTGTAAAAATGACAATAAATCGAAATAATACTGTCGACACATCACGTTTTATAAATGAATATATATTTATAAAAAACACATTGTTCCGATGATAATGACAAATAATGCATCTTATTGAGTGAAAACAATTTTTCAAACGTCCATAATTATAGCCAAATGCTATACATTGAAAATAAACTTTATTTGACTTTTCTCAATTTTAGATAAAATCTTCCATTCAGGAGAAGGCGGATCGGTTGGTTCATAATGTCCACTTCCCTCCCCATATAAAAATAGTGTTAAAATAGCATTCTGCTTCAAAACGATTCTTGCAAATTACATGTGTCATTGCGTTTGTTAACACAGATTTTGTATATCATAAAAGCATCCTATTTTTTAATTTTGTTAATTTTTTGTTTGTGTATTGGGTACTCGTAACAAAAAACAGAGTAGTAACACACATACAGTTTTTACCAATATGGATCTTAGTTATGCCGCTTTGTCCGACAAATATCCCTTTAAGCAACTAAACCTGACGAAAAATGGAAAATATTTTAAATTCTAGTCGCCTCAACCCGCCCCAACATATCTTTTACAAAGCTTATAAGACTGTTACATGTAGAATATAAAACGGTGCTTCTCTTTTCGAGCTGCATGAGAAAGCTCCCATTAAACCAAACACAGGCACATCGGTAAAAAGGTTAGATCTCATTTCCTATTGGAATGCCTATATAAAGTCTGATAAATGGGAGACAACTCAACTAACTCAAATATAATGTATGGAGTGTAAATAAACGTCACGGTAACCCGCACTGGAGCATTAACAAAATTAGGACGGCAATAATCGAGGGCACACAAATATTTTCCTGACCTAAAAAGTTAGTTTTTTTTCCAGAATACCTTTACAAGACAGTACACATGGTATCTTTTAATCCTATTTCGACACCATTCAAACTCCAAGTCTATGCGACCGCCTCGGTGATGTAGCTGCGTACTCAAATCAAATCAAATCAAATCAAATATCTTTATTCCTAATTAAAGGGCCCATATAGAGTATATAAACCAACACAAATCACAAAAGTTCATACAAATCCACACAAACAACACATGCAATCTAACACACATACTGATTATTGATAATTAAAAATGATTATTAAAGAACAAAAAAGGAAACATGATTATAAAAACAAATACATGATTGGAGAGAGCCAGTACAAAGAGGAATAACTCCATTTGTTTATTTTAACTTTTGTCTCTTTTTTTCCTGTCTAATCTGGTAAATTTTATTTAAGTACATAATAAAAACTGTATTAAAATCTAAATCTTCATTTGTCATGATCCAGAAAAAGAGATTTTCTAAACTTATGTTTCTCAGATTTGGAAACTTTTGAAATTTTGTAAGTATTCTATCTTTGTGAGCTATATAGAGGGCACTCTATAACAAAATGCAGTCCATGTTCTATCAAGTTAAGTAAACAGTGTTGACAGAGCCTTTCACATCTGGACAGAGGTTCAAGTTTTCCTGAGATTGTATTTAGTTTTCTTTCATATCTCCCAGTTTCTATTCCCAAACTGTGGTTACTCAGTCTAAATTTTGTTAAAGTTCTTCTGCTGTTAAAATTTTTCATATTCAAGTAACTTTCATAATTGAAAGCAAATTGAACTCACCCCGAGAGCGGATCCGGAAGATCGAGGTTCAGATCCCCGGCCGGGTCAAACTAAAGACTTGAAAATTGGGCATTTTATAAGCACGCGGCATTTAGGACCAAGAACAAAGACTGGTTAGATCGGAGTCAGAATAATATGTCAGGGTAAGGTGACATATCTAGCTGCGGACTTATATCCTATGAAATAGCACGTTTAGTACCCAGCTCAGCATGTCGGTCTAGCTGGTAGAAAGCAGGATTTATATTCACAATATGATGCTCTCGTTCTGAAAATGCATCTAATTTGCCATTGGACATTAAATAGCCATCCATCCAAGTCTGTGCATTTAGGATTCACATGCATGGTAGAGACAGAGCACCTACCAATTTCAAAGTTCGGAATGGCACCCACGTCTTCTTGCACGCAAATGGAGCCACGCTACCTGAAAATTACATATACCGTAAAAGATAAGCGGATGATATCAAAGGGATATTCAAACTCGTAAGTCGAAGACAAACTGACAACGCCATGTTTAAATAACGAAAAATAATCAAAAGATAAACAACAGTCTACAAAACAGAGCTAAAGACTGAGCAATACGAAGCCCATCAAAAACTAGCAATGATCTCAGGTGCTTCAGAACGGTAAGCAGATTCGAAAGTATAAGAATGAACATATAATTTAAGAGTCATTTGCATTGATTTGTGATGATGGACGTGTTTGTCTTTTTTTTTATTGGCCGACGGCTTTTTCGTAGATTTGTTGTATTCAATTTCCCCCTGGCATATTCTTTTTCATATTTAATTCATAAGTTCATGTTATACGAGATTTAGAGAACAATTGGTCAAGTTTTACAGTCTCGTTTTCCAAAATATTCAGTGTCATCGCCGTAGTATTCGGATATTTTGCCGTTGAGGTTCACATTAGTGCCTCTGTATGTTAATTGGAATTCGGATCCTTTACCATGAACCTCTACACTTTCTGGCATGAACAATTCTATAAACGAGCATAACGATTTGAAATTCTCGTCACTAAAATCATTGTTTGCATAAAAGTAACAAAGTTCAATTACTGACTTGAAACGACCATTTTCTGTTTCAATATCGCTCATCTCTTCTGCTTTTTTACACAAAAGCTGAAAAACGTTCTTATCTTTAATTTCAACCGGTTGAAAGAAGATTGCCTCATTAAGGACTTCTAATTGTTGAAGAATATTTCCGTATTCTTCCTCAAGGTCAGACCTCTTTACCAACGTTGGAAAAAATTTGGATAACACATTATGCGGAATGAAATAACTTGAAAGATTCTTTTCTGTAAGGCATTTGACTAACATTAAAAAACACTCTGCAAACCTTGTCGTTATTTTATCCTCTGTCCAAAATGTATCTTTCCAGAAATGAGTCATCATGTAATATACAATAGTTTTGATCCAGTAGGATGGAACAAGTGGTTCAGTTCGGAAGAGAGCCTCGTTATATTTTCGTGGTATACATGTTGAAACAGCATACTTTAAACAGCGGTAGACTACCTTTCTCCCATTGTTGGAAGAATACCTATACCATATTTCCTTTTCTCGCACTGCCCGAGTCCATCTTGCCTCGCCATCAGATCGAAGTATTAAATAATCATACCTTTCTTCGGCCTTTTTCTTAGGCGTTGTAATACCAGGCCGAGTCTTGTCTAAAATTTCTTGATTTACATTCATTAAATTGTTGAAGTCCTGTGGTTTAAAGCATAAACACAAGTCAACGTGAACGACCATCTGATTCCATTTTTCTCCTGAAAAGAGTAATGTATGCGTCTGCGCAAGTCCTGTCATAAAAATAGGGACTGTATCAAGCCACTTCCAACCGGGTACTGCATTTGTCTCTAAAATATTGGCAGTTTCAATCTGGATAGTATTCCATACCCTTTTAAGAAAATGTTTATCGTTCTCTTCACTCTGATCAATGTCCTCAAAATCGTCAAACAATTTTCTTTTTTTAATTCCAAGAGATTTTTTCTCGTCAGATTGAAGAGAATCATATATTGGCGGTTCCAACACTTCCAATGCTTCGTTCAAGCACGGCAGTTCTATCATGAAGTCAAATTCGTCGGGGTTTCCTATCTTAGTCCCTTCGGCCATGCTTCCCATTCCAATAATGTTATAATGATGAAAAACTTTATGTTTTTCTGCTAATATATCATAGACAGTTTTCAGCATACCTTTCATATCATTCACGACTTTCACGTATTCTTGATTGTGCTCTTCTTGAGAAGATTTCAAGTTTTCTTTACAAACGCTGTCTATAAACTGATAATTTATTTTACTTTGATCAACTTTAAGAGATGATTGTAGTAAATTTTCTCTAGGCAATCTTTTGCTTTCAGTGTGTGGGTCCACAAACGGGTCAAAGAGACTTAAAAAGACATCTGGATTTAAGTCATTTCCCCAAGTGCAACTAATCCAAGGTTGAAATGGCCACTGAGGTCCTGTATGAGTTTTGGTTTTCTTTATGTATGACACATATGGACGGTTAGCTTTGTTTATTTGTTTTGCTACATTACGGATATGATCACGTTGCTTTTCAATATACATATTTGAATGCACTGCTAGTATAGACCCAAATTCACCTACAATTGGGACCTTGCCATTACATGGTCCAGCCATTTTTGTTGGTACTTTTACATTTACTTCGTTCACTTTTACGTTCGATAAAAGATTCGATTTCCAAGCAATCATTTGGATGTGTGAAGCAATCTCATCTTTGCACTGGTTCTTCTGTGATTTGCAATGGTCAAAAACAGATGTTTGCTCTGCTTCATTTGTACATGACAAGTCCTTTTCTGCATGTTTCACATTAAGCTGATTTATTTCGTTCTCCTTTTTCTGGTGATCCTTTTTCAAAACTCTTTGATATAATATTGAAATATTATCCATAAGATCAAACTGTAGTGTGAATCTAAAAACAAACCAATAATAAACGAATTTTTAAGTTGAAAATTATGGTTATAAAGTCGATCCAAATTATTTTTGCAAAGAATCCCGCTCAAGCCGGTGCTAGGGACCGTTTTATTGCAGTGAGGTGAAAGTTTGTTTTGCTCCGTGACTTTGAGATGAAAAACAGCAATAAAAGCGCAGTTCCTTTGCTTTATGTGTGCTTTTTTTTGCAGTGCATGTTTAGTTTTTAGTCATGGATGGATACTCCATGTCCTTTGTTTTTCTATTATATACTAACCTCTAAATTTCATGTGTCGTTGGAATGCTTCGCTTTCGTCGCATTAACGTGTACCCTATTTCCTCTATCCATCTTTGGGGCGTTTTTTTGGGAACTTCATATTCATATCTTACAAACAAATATGTAATAGAATGGAAGAGAATAAATAAAAATAAATTTCGATTGCTGATTACAGCACCTAAAACTGAGCTGAATAATTGCACCAAAAGAAGATTTTAAAAAATAGAACGTGGTATGAATGACAGGGAGATAACTCTCCACCAGAGACAAAATGTTATCAAATGACTATTATAGTCATTATATTATTAATAATATATAATAGGTCACCGTACGGCCATCGACAATGAACAAAACACTTACCGCATAGCAAGCTGTAAAAGGTCCCGAAATGACAAATTTAAACAATGATTCTTTATGATACAAGTAAGTGTAGGTAAACTCAATTTGAACCTGTTATAACTTGGGACAGGTATATATACATAATGAGGCGGGGTTAAACATGTTTGCGGGCGCCGCATTGTAACAGTGGTTGAACAGCACAGATTAAAAGGGCTTAACTCATCAGATCGATACAATCCAATAAACAAACAAAAAAACAACTAACAAATACACAAAAGACACAAAGTATAAATAAGCTCATCATAGATATCAGGATTATAAGGATGCGCGTTTCGTGTAAAAACAAACTCATCAGTGACGCTGGATTAAAAAAAAAATAAAAGGCCAAATAAAATAAGAACTTGAAGAGCATTGAGAACCAAAACTTTTGAAAGGTCTGAGAGTACTCGCAGATACTGAAAGCTTGCAAATAATACAAAAAAGCATGCATGTAATTCTAAAAAGTTAATGTCCTAAGACTTAAAGTTATTGTCCTATATATTACCAGGTTTACTTTCAGGAAAAAAACAACTACGATGGTCTCTTGGTAGAGTGTTCGAGAGAGTGGTTAAACAAAAGACTTGACATTGATATTTGATGCTTCTCCGCTAAGCACGCGGCATTTAAATGTTAAAGCTAGGAATAGTCTACTAGTCAATACATCATATCACAGGTCAAACAACGACTGGTGAGATCGGATTCAGAAAAATGTGTCCGGGTAAGGTGAAACATCCTTCGGACTGTTTGTTTGTAAACTAGCACATTAAAGATCCGACTCAGCGTGTGGGTCTAGCAAACGCAGGTTCAACGTCATATCATATACAATTTTCTCTGCCTGATGTGCATGTAATATTTGCCACAGGACGTTAAACACTAAGTTATTAACACATTCCAAGAAGAACATTCATTATAAGTTCATTAAATTTAAAAGAAACACAACAATTTGCTGTAACAACACTATCTTCCCGGTACATGCAAAATTGAACACTTCTATTAAGTTGCATGTTAGATTCGAACTATTACTTCACATTCATATAAAAGTAAAAGTTTTAAACGAATTATTTTAATTACGAATTAATTCAATTAATTACTTAATATAAATAAATTGTCAGTATTGAGAGTATTTTTTTATATATATTTTAAATTGTCCTCACTTATTTTATTTCGAACTGTACATCTAAATTACAACATGACACATTCTTATTGTAGTATAAAATAAAACAAAATTGAAAATATTAAAACATTAAATGTTTTAAATTACCAATTCGTCGATCTGAAAGAAGGTCAAAGATACATGAAAACAACATTTAACTTCCTCCTCTTTGTTTACATTTTAGTGTTAAATAAATGAGAAGTCAAATCCAGGCTGATATGACAATCCGGAATTTTAAATTGTCTCTAGTTAAGTTGTCTCAATACCCTTCTTATCCTTAAAGTTCCGCCTTCTCACATACTATAGAAGAATTTCAAAGAAAATATTAAACCAGATTTAATTAAAGCATCTTTAAACTATAAACTTTAAGGTTGTTTTTAGTGTTGACACATTTAGTTACAATAAACATAGGCTCTAAGGAGCTTTTATATAGAGAAAAGACTGACATTCAAATACTTCAAGCTTTGAAAGTGACCAATAACTGGTTATTTTGCTGCCGAGTGAATTCTGATGACGATGGCATGGTGGCGTCTATATTGTTCTTGTAATTGGATATATATATAATGCACTTCTTGGTGTTGAAATTCCGATTGTAGGCTAAGACGATCATCCATTACAAGGTGCAGATTACATGCATATTAATTAGACAACAACCAATCAACAGCAAACACGAGACATTCAAAACTGTGAATCAACCTACAGATAATATACCAAAGATCTGTCAACAATAAATAAATACTCGAAAGGATAATGGGAAATAATATATTATACCTGTTTCATTTAACTGTCTACCCTAGCTACATGTATAAGTTGGTATTATAGTGCTATGATAGCCAATTACTAGGGACTAAAAAAGTAAAGGTACATATATCATGAAATATTGAAAAAAAATAAATAGAAATGTAAATCTTCGTTGAAAGACGTCTTTACTCTGCAAAAATAATTCCGAATAGTGGATGTCAGTTCATGACAATAGTCGAATTCAACCAAAGTGGAACTGGGCATGGGGGTAGAAATATATAGAGTTACTAATGGTGTTCTTCCAACCGGCAGTACAACCCTTTCCAAAGTGGGGCGTCAGTTTGGTTGCGCGGGATGTATAAATACGCAGCCACGTCCAGTCAAATGGGGACCTTCAATCTCATATTATTCCTATTGAGAGAGAGTGCCACTCTCTCTACACGAAGAACCCTTAGAACCCTTGCAACAACTCTTATTTGAGGGGGTGTAGGTGGCCGGCTGAAAGGCAATATTTCTGTCTCTATCCAATTAACCCTCATTTTTGAGATGCAGTTCAATTTCCCGACCTTCATCCAGGACGACCCCTATTACAGGATCTATCTATTGTATAAATTGATAATTTGTTCGTCCTGAACATACATGAAATATGTCCCACTATATGTTTAGCAAACAACAATCAATCAATCTTAAAATTTCGCCTTAGTTGCTCCATTTTATCTTTCAAAGCTGGTTGAAATTGTATGAAGTTATCAAAGAAAATAAATACTAGACCGGGGAATCTGAATTCGGGATTTGTGTTGATGTCAGATGTTGTCTATACCGCTTTTAGACTATGAGAGACTTATGTATTGTTAAAGAAATTTGTTATTTGACATCCAAGTGTTTTTCATGTTGTTCTTATCGCTAGATTGGTGTCTAATTGACGAATCCCCCTCATCTCTAAGTTTTCATATAAATAGAATAAATCATGACCAACTGGTGTCCAAACACTGACCGGTGGATAATAAACTTGTAAGGAACTAAATTAAAAAAGCAGTCAGAAGCCTGTTGTTCAGTGTTTCTCGTTTCTCGTTTTTTATATAGATTATACCGTTGGTTTTCCTGTTTGAATTGTTTTGCACTAGTCATTTTGGGGCCCTAAATAGCTTGCTGTTCGGTGTGAGTCAAGTCTCTGTGTAGAAGGCCGTACTTTGACCTATAATTGTTAACTTTTTATACTCTGTGACCAGGATGGAGAGATGTCTCATTGGCACTCATACCATATCTTCTTATTTATATTGGAAACAACACAATGGTAGTTAATCAATATAAACTTTGCTTCGTTCGGAGTATTTTTTTAAGAATAAAGCATCACCAAGAAGACCCTGAAATGATATAAGGGGGAGGGGAATTAGGGGCAAGACTTTGTTATCATTAATAAACATGCATATTTTGTCTTTGTGGTGTCTGTAATACGCGTGTTTCATTGAATTACATTTTTCTATTTTTCTTACGTCCTTTCCAATCCTTTTGTCTAATTTCGCAATCAGATCTTATTTATTTTCAATTATATTCCATCAATGGTTGATGATATCAAGAGATTCTGGTATTTCTCAGATATCAAGAGATTCTGGTGATTCTTGTGATTATTTTCATTATTGAAAATCTCATGCATGTTGACCTCTAGACATGACGTTTTGGTGACCTTTCTGTTTGTGATAAGCTGATTTGAGATTGATTTTTTAAATAACATTCAACGGTTAAATACAACCATTGTTAAACTTCTTCCCTTATTGAATATTATGATACCACACTTGCCATTTAAAAAACAATGTTTTGGAAAAAAGGGGGGACGAATACCGCTAATTTGTAACATTTCAAATAAACAAAACACAGACCTGATTCATGCAAGCAGTCGAAAAAACGAAATGGCCAGGATAAAATTGAATAAAATAAGCATGATTTATTTTTAGTATAAAAAATAATTTATGTTGTATTACATACATGTATCGTCATATAAGACATTGCACAAAGAAAACAACATTTCATGTTGAACCATTAAATAAATACATACACTAAATTAAGTCTTACTGTTTCTGTACAATTAAATGCAACAAACAAACTTGGTGTAGTGTAATACAACACAGACAGTTATTTTAAATATCAAGTTTCATGAATTTGTATATCGGACCTATTTTCTCCAAAACAGTCCTCGTCAAAATTGAAAGTCAATAATTATTTACACATGGAATAGCTTCCAGTTCACGCTTCTTTTTCTGGATGAACATGGTTTCATGCAGTGGAGCATGTGTGCAGTTGCCTTCTCTACGCATTCATCATTTGAACCTCCGTGGGCTTCACAGCTGTTTACATCTTCCTGATATCTGTGTGCACAGTTTGTCCGACATGTTGCACATACTGTACCAACAAGAAAAATTACTGCTACAAGAACTAATACTTTCCTCTCCATTTTCTACAAAAGAAAAATTAAAAATGAAATAAAAGAACATATGAAAGTAAAAATAAACATTATGACCAAATCAAAACAAAAGACAGAGAGCCCCCTCCCAACCCAAGTCTTTTAATTTCAAAAATCATTTTTGTCTATACACAGATTATTTCTTTTAATTTTAGTTTGCCTAACGCTCTGTATCAATTATGTCATGCATATTCAAGTCGAGAACAAATTTAAAATAAACAAATCAATGACGATCGACCTATTGAAAGGCGAGAATCTAAGACCGACAATTGAAAAAGAAGCTAAACTAGCATTGGATAGGGCACGAAACTTTGCCTGGTAACATGTGGATTACGGACCCCGCAAAAGACTGTCGCAAAAAGCAGAGAGCGAGGTAGTCAGTCAAACGCCCAAAAGCATTGGTTTTTCTGCCAGGTGGGAACCATATTTCTATACCCTAGTCCACCCTTTAAAATTTTAGAAAAACTAAACCAAATAAAGTCGATCCAAACGACTAATAAAAAGTGAGATTGTAGTAAACTTCCTAGTCTCATTTATTTCCAACACTAATTGTGAAAATCTAAAAGCTTTAAACTGGCTTTTAAGCTTAACGTTTAACTGGTTTAATAGGAAACTTTAGTGTTGTTTAAAAATGACGTTTTCCTTATCAGCAATAGAGTATTTCAAGTTAACAAAGTCATAAGTCAAAAAATAGAAATGAAAGACTACTGTGCTAGGAAAATGATGGTGAATTTCTTAGGTTGTAAAATTTAAGTATACATGTACAATGTATACGTATGTATGTACGGTATGTGGCATAACTGTGCTTCATTTTTTTGTTTATCAAAACATGGGCGCACATCTAGAAGCCGGCATATTATATTGAGATTGCAGACCGGGTACATGTATGCAGCATAATATATAATTTAGATAACATCTTAAGTCACAAATGTAATAACATATATTTATTTCGATAATAGAACCTTCTTTTGGCACAATTCGAAAAGTGTATATAAATAAAAAATAAGGTTTATGACAATCTGTAATTTGAGAAAATGTAATTCATTTAAAAGCACAAGAAACCAAAAAGAAATGGTTACAAGCGAACAAAAGTGATACGTTTGTTCTAAAAACAATTTAAAAAAAATAAAGTCAAATTCCATTCCATTAATGCAACGTCCAATATAAATATATTTTTAAAATCATTCTGTCCGAAAAGAAAAATGAAATTATTTAAAGATCTTATACACGTTAAAGATTGAGACATTATAGAATAAGAAAAGAATTGTACTTACAATTTAGTCTGCTGTTTGTGTACAAACAATATAATGGCTTTGTCCAGTTTTGACTTTTATCTGGACGGTGACCAGTTTATATAGTTTTCTTATTAGCCGGTAATCTCAAATGTCTAGATAATACTCTGATGAAGATTGGAATATTAAGGTGTATACTTATACTCAATATGTATGTTGTGAAAACCGCACCAATGTGTCTGAAACATTTTTTTTTTTAACTTGAATGAGTTAAATAAATTTTTACGTATTCATTGACAAACAATTAAAACAAAAGAGGCAATCAAAACGGTCGTGAATGTAAGGAACTATAGGTCACCGTACGGTCTTCAATAATGAGCAAAACCCATACCGCATTGTAATCTACAAAAGGCACAGGCTTATAAAATATGAACAAGCCAAACGAGAAATCAAACGGCCTGATTTGTGTTTAATCAATAAACGAAATATAAATAATGGCCGACAATAACCTACCTGAATTACAGGCTTCAGACTAATCAGATACGCGAAGAATGTTGCTGTGTTAAACATGTTTGTGAGCTCTCAATCCTTTTTATATACACTGTTCATGTATATTATTTATATATATATGAACATCTTCTCGTCTTTTATTCGGATCGATCTCCAATCAACGGATGTTTGTATTTATAAGTCCGGAAAATTTCAGTCAAGGACCGTATGGTCCAGAATATTTCCCTATATTGTTAATGTAAAATATTTTTCAAAAAAGGAAATTATATTTGCCTTTCTACGTAATATTTTGTGTTTGTCAAGATGCAGGAAAAATTATAATTAATTTGGCCTTTTGAAATTCTGCGTTTACTGTTGCTTTACGACGTATCGTTTAAATTTTTTAATCACGCAAAGTTTGGTTGATGCGTTTTTCTAATATCTGAGTATAGTTTTACATTTACGTTTCGCAAAACGTTTTTGTAATCGCGGTTAAGCAGTCAAGAGCTGCGTCATTCATGATTTTGACAACTTCACCGATTAATAGTGTCATTGTTTCAGATTAATCCAGGTCATTAGTTTGCGTCAATCGTTGTAATTTCTTTTGAAATATTCTCTAAAATTAGTTAGATGAAATTAAAATAAATAATACACAAGATTAGATATCCATCGTTGTTTACATTTGATGGATAGTCATTTTCGGAAACCGAATTTAACAACTAGATACAATAGTGATCATTATGACATAAGTGATACCCGTGCAATGTGTAGGTTCATTACGTATTTTATAGTACTATTGTATGCTAAGTGCAAGTTATTTGCACTGCCATACGCGAGTATATTACTATTGTATCTAATAAAGGAAGATGGAAAAAATGTGTTTGTTTACGTTTTGAATATCCCAAAAAAATAATTGATTTGAATGTAAAACTATGTTTTAAAACGATTTCATTAGAATATAACTAATGTACATTTTTGTACACCAACAAAATTAAAAGTACACAATGTGTTAGGAAAGCAACCGAATTGAGAATATCGATTAATCAATACGATTGATTTTAACACTGTAAGTGCGATTATTTGTGATGTGGGATTTGTGGAGGTGTGATGAATTTTGCATTGTGGTTTTATGTGATAAATGGAAATGTAACAACTGGCAATCTTTAAAATTGATAATATGTACAATTTGAAATCCAAACCTATCGTACATTCTTACTTAAAGATACACGCGGTATCACTTGTAACCGCCGTACACTTGATTCAGAACATTGTGCGTTCTGAAGCGATAAGCAACAAGCTGAGAGAGGCTGATAGACGATATTAAAAAAATATGCTGAGTTCTATACACAATTTATATTCAAAAATGTACATGTATGCATGTCATCCACATAAATTAAAGAATTCTTATTTTAACTCGTGCTGTACTTACTGTTTGATAAAAACCCGTTTACAAATGGTCTCAAAACTCCTTTAGAAATGCCTCAAAAATGCAAACATTAAAATAACAACTGATATATGTGCATGCAGAGTTCATTGTAATTATGATAATTTCCGTTTACTAATCATATGTTTATGAAATTGTTAACAGTACCGCTCGTTACGCGTTTTTTTGTACTGTACTGTATCTTTCGTTGGTAAAAACATCCAGAATACGGACACATACAATTTTTAAAGTGTTGTTTTCATTTTTTACTTTGTCGAAGCGAGATAAAAACGAATAAATTTTTATCTAACGTTTACATGAATTAATTACTAATAGATAAATTCTAAGTATTGAGAATGCTCTTTTTTTTAGTTCATATTCCATTTTTAGAGGTTTCAAAACCCTCGAAGTCCTTATCTGCCTTCTTTGGAATTAATGATCGAATCTTTTAAGGTAAAATGTTTAACCAGAATTCAAGCATAAAAAAGTCGTCCCTTTGTTATCTTCACTTTCTTTATATCGAACTGTACATCTATGTTACAAAATGACACATTATTATTGTAGCAAAAAATAATTTATTAAAATTTTACATTATTTTCATGATTTTGAAATACAAGTTCCCTTGAAGGAAGATCATTTGTAGATACATGAGACATCACTGTCTTTGTTTAAACTTTAGAAGAAAAAAGTATTACATTTCCTGGCGTCAGATTGGCCTTTTGTGTTTATTCTATACTAATCTCTGAAATTGTGGACCAAAAAAAACCGCATATACTAAAACATGGGGTTGTAATTTTGGATAAAATGGGAATACAAATTGAATGGAACAGTCTTTTATATCTCACTGTTTGATTGTTACGATTTACTGTTCTTTTCGAAAAAGACAAGATGTGATTGGAAACAGGTAGTTTATCATACCTTATTTGAAAAAAGTACAGAAAGATGTAAACCATCATATTCGTATATTGTTTAGTTATAAATTAGGCCGTTAGTTTTCTCAACTGAATTGTTTCATATTTTTCATGTCGGGGCCTTTTATAGCCGACTATACGGTATGGGTTTTCTCAAATTGAATATTAAAGGCCTTGAGGTTGCCTATAATTGCTTACATCCACTTCATTTGAACTTTGGTGGATAGTTGTCTCATTTGAAATCATACCACATCTCCCTATTTTTATATATGTAGGGGAAAAGGAAAATAACAAAAATACCGAACTCCAAGGAAATATCAAATGGCAAAACAAAACGCTCAAACACATCAAGCGAATGGAAAACAAATGTCATATTATTGACCTGGTACAGGCATTTCCTTATGTAGAGAATCGTGGATTAAACCTGGTTTTATGGCTACCTAATCATATCACTTGTATGACAGTCATATAGAATCATGTAGGGGTGGGAACATACAATGACCCATGCTTCTATAAGTAATGAGGACAGACAAGTTTTCCTTATAGCAAAATGTTTCACAGTAACTTAGCATTCATTTGCATTGATGGTATCAAGAGAATTCTTTATTATCTTTATGTCACAGCATAGGGAAAAAAGTAGTTTTACATTTTCCCGGTTTTAGGTTGACCTTTCGTATACCCAGGACAGGTGAATGAGGTCAACTTAGGAGCGCTGAGGTTGAAACTAAGGAGAACTTTGATATACATTTTATTTATTAATAAATAACTGCCATGTGTATATTTACAATTTAAATTTTGAAATACATTAAAATATTTTCTGAATAATTTTTAGAAAAGGCTTCCAAATTTTCATAAATATGATGTTAAATGACGGTGGGCATTGATAACATAAACAAGCTCCTTTGGGAGATGGTCAGGATACCATTTGACTTCAATTTCCTAAACAGAACAATAAAGTACTAATATCACACATATCTGTTTTGTCCAGGTTTTTATTATAAACAGTGCTAAATTTAGAAAAAAATGTTAATATTGTCGCTTGTGGAAGAAAAAATACTATCGTTTTCCTTATAATGTTATAATAAATACATACATCATAGATACCAGGATTTAAATTTTGTACGCCAGACACACATTATGTCTACAAAGACTCTTTAGTAACGTTCGAATCTAAAATAATAAAACTGTCCAATATGTACGAAGTTCAAGAGCATTGAGGGCCCAAATATCTGATAGGTTTTGCCAAAGACAGCTACGTGATCTATTCCTTGGGTAGAAAACTCAGTTTTGAGAAAAAAAATTAAAGCTTGGTAAACAGTTACTTTCTGATTTTTGCCATATCAATGTTAATTCATGTCAAAACAGAAGTGGGTAGCCAGACTGAAATGACAATCCAGAATTTTAAGATATGTCCAGTTGAGAAGCTTACAAGAACTCTATCAAATATTTGCTAAAAACCAAACAATACATCTTCCACTTTAAGTTGTCTCAATAATCTTGCTGTCCTTTAAGTTCTGCTTTCTCACAAATTATAGAATATTTAATATCAAATAAATATTTTAACCAGGTTTAACTAAAGCATCAGTAAACTGAAGGTTGTTTTAATGTCGGCACATGCAGTAACAAAAATATATGATATAAGGATCTTTTATCCTACATAACGACTTGACTGACATTCAATCTAGTTATAAAGTAGATCTCTGATTTCGTTATCATGATATAATATGAGCACACAAGTTGTGATAAACCTGAAATTTCTCTAGATTGGTCTGAAATTTGAATGCTTCAAACTTTCGAACTAAATTATTATTGGTGTATTTGCTGCCGAGTGAACTCTGGTGACGCTAAAACTGTGACGTCTACATAGTTCTTGGGTATCTAACGCATTTCTCGGTGTTGAAATTCCGATTATAGGCTAAAACGATCATCCATTACAAGGTGTAGATTACACTCATTTCAGACAGCAAACAAGCAACAGAAAACAGAAGACATTTAACAGTCAATAAGGTCTAAAGAATAGACAAGTGACTGTTACGCACGTGTGTATGTCAGTCTTAAAAAGCTGTGAATCAATCTTACAATTTTAATGTTATATTTAACATTGCCATAAAAGAGGGAAGTTTGGCTAGCCACAAAACCAGGTTCAACCCACCATTTTCTTCTTAAAATGTCCTGTACCAAGTCAGGAAAATGGCCATTGTTATATTATAGTTCGCTTCTGTGTGTGTGTTACATTTTAATGTTGTGTTTCTGTTGTGTCGTAGTTCTCCTCTTATATTTGATGTGTTTCCCTCAGTTTTAATTTGTAACCCGGATTTGATTTTTTCTCAATCGGTTTATGAATTTCGGACAGCGGTATACTACTGTTGCCTTTATTTTACAGGTACTACCAAAGATAAAATACCAAAGAATAAAGTATCGGAAGGATAAAACAAAACGGTGGAAGCAAATATAACAACTTTCTACCAAATAAAATTTTCGCTAATTGTTTTAGAATAATAAGCTTCTCAACGGGAGATAATTAAAAATTCCGGACTGTCATTTCAACCTGGATTTGACTTCTCATTTATTTAACACAAACATGTAACTCAAGACAAGGATGTTGAAATGTTTTTTTTTTATCCTCCTTTAGGTAAATTAGTAGTTGGGTATTTTTGTTATTTTACTTTTTAGGTAAATTGATAACTGAAAATACTGTTTTCGTTACTGAAAAGTTTCCCATTTTATAAATGCCGGGACCTTGCAGGCCAAGTTTATATAGATTACTATCCGGTGTAAGTTTTGCTTATTGTTAAAGGTCCAAAGGTGACGTGTATTTGGTTACATCTCTGGTGGATAGCTGTCTCATTGGTAATCATATCACATATCCTTATTTTTATAATGAAGAAAAACTCTGACAAGGAGTTAACAGTCATTTGTGGCTTTGGTAAACCTGCTTTGTTTAAATTTTCAACTTAAGCTATTAGTAAGTATTATCATACTATGCTAGTCAATTACGAAGGACTAACATAGTAAAAGTATATTTCATGATGTATTGAACAAAAAATTTAAATGTAAATATTCGTTGACTGACTTTTACTCTTTAAAACAATTCCGAATGGTGGAAGACAGTCCACGACAATAGTCAATTTTTAATTACAACAAACAGTTAAATAGAACCATTGTTAAACTTTTTCCCTTACTGATAGAATTGAGAAGGGAAACGGAGAATGTGTCAAAGAAACAACCTCACCAAAGAGCAGAAAACAGCCCAAGACCACCAATTGGTCTTCAAGGCAGCGAGAAATATCACACTTGCCTTTAAAATATCAATGTGAGGGAAAAAAGGGGACGAATACTGATAATTTACATTTAAATAAACAAAGCAAATACCTGAATTATGCAAGCAGTCGACAGCGAAATTGCCCGGATAAAATTTAATAAAATAAGTAAGATTTATTCACTGTATGAAAATAATTTATATTGTATTACATACATGTATCAAATAAGACAATGCATAACGAACACAACATTTAATGTTGAACCATTAAATAATAAATATTATATGTACACTAAAATAAGTCTGAAAGTTTCTGTACAATTAAATGCAATAAACACAATTGGAGTAGTGTAACATGCTACACAGACAGTCGGTGTAAATACCAAATAACATAAATTCGTATATCGGACCTATTCTCAAACTCAGTCCTCGTCAAAATTGAAAGTAAATATCTAAACATGGAATAGTTTCCAGTTCACGCTCCTTTTTCTGGATGAACATGGTTTCATGCAGTGGAGCATGTGTGCAGTTGCCTTGTCTACACATGCATCATTTGAACCTCCATGGGCTTCACAGCTGTTTACATCTTCCTGATATCTGTGTGCACAGTTTGTACGACATGTTGCAAATGCTGTGCCGATAAGAAAAATGGCTGCAACAATAACTAATACTTTCCTCTCCATTTTCTGAAAAAGGGAAGCCAGTCTAATTAAAATATACACAGAAGCGACAATTAAATAACCGAACATGCAAATGTAAAAACAAAGTTATTGATCCTCATCAGGTATGCATGCTAATATGAACACATAAAAACAACAAAAGACCCCATTACCCTCAAAGGAAGCGCTTTATACACATTTTGTATAAAGCGCTTTCGCGCTTCATATTATCAATGTGCGCACGATCAACGCTTTTATTTTCTATTTGTATCCATCTGATGAATTAAGCCCTTTTCAACTGATTTTTATAGTTTGTTCTCATGTTGTACTGTTACATCACTGTCCCAGGTTAGGGTAGGGTTGAGCGCTCACAAACATGTTTAACCCCACCACAGACTTTATGTGCCTGTCCCATGCCAGGAGCCTGTAGTTCAGTGGTTTTTCGTTGGTTCATGTCTGTCATATTTGTTTTTCGTTAATTGTTTTGTTATAAATTAGGCCGTTAGTTTTCTCAATTTAATTGATTCATATTTTTCATGTCGAGGCCTTTTACAGCCGACCATACGGTATGGTTTTGTCTCATTGTTGAGGGCCGTACGGTTGGCTATATTTTCTTACACCCACTTCATTTGAACTTTGGTGGATAGTTGTCTCATTGGCAATCATACCACATCTCCTTATTTTTATATGTTATGTAATTATTTACTAGAAAGTATAATTTTACATGTATGTGAGTGACATAAGAATGATTTTCCTTTGATCAAAATACAGGCGTGCATCTAGAAGCTGACATATTAAAGTGACATTTCATATTTGGTACAATGTACATGTATATATAGCATAATGTACAATAAAATTGAGAATGGAAACGGGGAATGCGACAATGAGATAACAGCCTGACCAAAAAGCAGAAAATAGCCCCAGGCTACCAATGGGACTTCAACACAGCGAGAAAATCCCGCACCCGGAGGCGGGCTTCAGCTGGCTCTAAAACAATAATGTATACCTAAGATAGCATTCTTAGTCACAATGTTATAGCATATATTTCGATATTACAAACTTCAATTTACACATTAAATTTATACGGTGTACGTAAATTACAGTTGATGAGAATATAAAATTTGGGGAAATTCTCTAACAAGCACCGGAAACCTCAAAGAAATGGATACAAATGTAAAATAGTAATAGGTTTCTTCTTAAGGTGGTACATAACACTACAGGGAGATAACTCTGTAAAAATCAACTGAACGTTTTAATCACGTTCTATTGTTAAGGAAATGTTAAGCTTCTCAATGATCAAAATTAGTGTTTGTCAAACTGCTATACATCTAATGATTTTTTTCCAATAATGTGTGTGGTTCAAGTTTTTTGAAATTTTGAAATTTTTGTCAAAGGGTCAAAGTAAATATTTTGTCAAAATTTTATGAAAATTAAACGAGCTAAACTGATTTTAGTCAGGGTGTTTGGTACCACATTAAAATAATTCTAAAACAATAAATTCAAATATTCCATAAATGTAACGTCCCAATATAAATAATTTTTAAAGTATTTTGGCAAAAAGGGAAATGATTTTTTTTTTTCAATACAAAAATAACAAATGAATTGTACTTACAATTTGTTCTTCTCTTTGTGAATTAACGATATGATAGCTTTGTCCAGTTTTGACTTTAATCTGGACAGTGACCAGTTTATATAGTTATTTTATTAGCCGGTAATCTCAAGTGACTAGATAATACTCTGATGAAGATTGGAATATTAAGGCGTATACTTATACTCAATATGTAAGTTGGAAAAACCGCACCAATGTATATTAAAAATAAAATTGCTGTTTGACCAAATACTAGTCGTATTAATTGACAACATACAAAATAAAAGAGGCAGTCAGACAACTTTTCGTACGTGTTTAAAAACACCTGTACCTTTTAAGTGTTTTTTTTTTCGAGCAAAGATGTACTTTTTTAAAGGCATAATGAATGTTGGAATTTTTGTATTTCAGTTTAGGAAGTCTTTCGTTATAACATTACTTTGACGTTGAGAAGCACATACTGCATGGGTAATGCAAGTTTTAACCACAATTGAAGTTTATATCAATCATACTAAGATATTACATTATTAGAACGAATCCAGTTAATTTAGAAAAAGGGATCTATCATTGTTATATGCTGAAAAAAAACATTACCAATTGTCCGATTCAAGTCTTAGTTTTGTCGATTTTCAAAAGAATTTAACAAAAAGGGGACTGAGAGTCCAAATCTCAGACACCCATTAACCAGAGACCAACTGACATGAATGTAAGAAACTATAGGTCACCGAACGACCTTCAACAATGAGTAAAATCCATACTGTATAAAGCTATAAAAGGTGAACAAATCAAACGAGAAAACCAACGTCATGGTTTAAGTTTAATTATCATTAATCGAAAAATAGATTATGACAGACAACAACCTACGACAACCACTGACTGCGCCAGACTTGACAGGCACATATATTATGAGCATTTACCCGTCCTTATAAAAATAATACATGTATGTAAATTATGTCAAAAATGAAAAAAAAAAACTTTTCCCCTCCAACCTACTAAATGTAATTCAAGAGGCCAGAACAAAAGTATACTTATGTTAGAATTCTGAACTTATACTTTAAATTATAGATCACATAGAGTTTGCTAGATGCTTTCATCTTACATCTGAGTATATGTTTTGCAAAACGTTTTTGTAATCGCGGTTAAGCAGTCAAGAGCTGCGTCATTCATGATTTTGACAACTTCACCGATTAATAGTGTCATTGTTTCAGATTAATTCAGGTCAATAGTTTGCGTCAATCGTTGTAATTTCTTTTGAAATTTTCTTTAAAATTAGTTAGATGAAATCAAAATAAATAATACACAAGATTAGATACCATCGTTGTTTACATATGATGGATATTTATTTTCGGACCAAGATCTTTACAATTAGGTACAATAGGAATCGTTATATTGCTATATTAGACCCGTATATTGTGTAGGTCCATTCCTTTTTGAAAAGTACATAGTATTAATCATAATGTTACTTCCGTTAAAACATGTGTTACTCCCGCCTGAAACAAAATTCACAGGAAAGGAATCATTTGTGGTTTCCTACATTAAGCACTTCATTTGAGTGATAGATAAACCCATCATTTAACAAACCTACATTCATACAGTAAGCAGTCATCCTGTATATAAACAATGCATGTCAGAATAAAAAAAAAAAAAAGAAACAGGCAAAACATTTTGATATAAAAAAAGACGAAAAAAATCATAAAAGATATAATGCACACAGAGGCGGATTTAGGAGGAGGGGCGGGTGGGCGACCCCCCACTTTATGAGCTACATTTATGGTTAATCCACACTTTGTTAAGTCAGATACGCGTTTGTTTACATAAGACTCATCAGTGGCGCTCTAATAAAAACAGTCGTACATGCAAGGCCGAATCAAATATGAAGTTGAAGACCTTTACAAATCAAAAGTTATGCATAATACGGTAAATGCAACCTATGCCTGAGTGTAAGAAATACCGAAGTATTTCGATTTTTTTTGGTCATATAGCTCTTCAACCTTTTCGGTTCCTATACATCTTTGGCTTTCAAATATTCTGTTTTGAGCGTTCCTGGTGAAAGTAAATCCAGAAAAGCACTTCGGACGCATGGAATTTATAGCAGGTTGTTTTCATATTTTATAAGCATGCAGTACATACTGATACTGATATCATACACGTTAAAAAACACGTCCACGCTATAAAATTTTAAGGGAGCTACCATTTTTAATGGGGATGGAGGGATGGGGCTAGGGAAAAAAATGAAAAATAAGACAGGACAGGAGTTTTGAGTAAAAAAAAAAGGTAGGATGAGCAACTTGGCAAAAAAAAAAAAAAGGCAGAATGACAATGTATGTTAAAAAAAGTCAGGACCGAATAGAGTGAAAAATAAAAAGGCAGGACAGAGATTACACTTAAAAAAAAAATGCAGGACAACATTTTTCATCCTAGCCCCCCCCCCCCCCCTTCCCCCACCCCCATAAAAATCAAATGGTAGCTCCCTAAGCAAGTATACATTTTGGGGCCCTGTATAGCTTGCTGTTCGATGTGAGCCAAGGCTCCGTGTTGAAGGCCGTACTTTGACCTATAATTGTCTACTTTTTACACATTGTGACTTGGAGGGAGAGTTGTCTCATTGGCACTCATACCACATCTTCTTATTTATATGTACGTAAATAAAAATAACACTTTATAAATGTGGATACTAAGCGATTTTCTGGATCTATCTTCATCAGGAACCAACAAATTTGAAAGCCAGGGATGTATAAATACTTGCATGCGTGAGGAGTAAGAACCCATATGACCAAAAGAGAAATTGGGCCCCAACAAATAGAATAGCCAAAGTCTTCCCAAGATCTACTTTCAATTGAGGGGTTTGTAATCTTATATCTTATTAATAATTTCTTAATTTATCAACAGAGAATCGAAGCAAATTAGTCAAATTTAAGTATGTAAGTTATAAGTTTTTTTCAGTACCTAAGCACTGACTTGATTAAGAGCACTGACTTTTGAGCTAGTGATACACCCGAGAACTTCAAAACAACCAGCAGTGGTATCGACCCGGTACTAGACAATACAAAAACTTTTTTTTTCATTTCGTTCGTCCGAAAAACAAAAAGTAAGACTATAATGGGACGGTACAATCTTCATCATCAACGAAGCAATTTAATCGCATTCAATTATAATCGCTATATTATATTTATTAATTAAACAAAATATTTTCATGTTGTAGTTTTTAAAATTTGTAAGCGCCTTTTCGTGATATCTTACCCCGAGTGGATGATAACAGAAAATACAGGGCTTTGCTGTAGAAAATAAACTCATCATAGATACCAAAAGGGCTACTTAAAGTCCGACTGCCATACATGTATTTCCTTTCTAGGGATATAGGAAATATTCCAAAATATTCCATTAGATGATATCATTAAAAAGACAGAGACCATGGATGATAACTTTGAAGTCATCTTTTTAAGGTCCCTAAAACAATGTTTCAGTTTCAACTACTAATAATCAATATAAAGAGGCTAACATTTCAGAAACAATAATGCCACATACGTAAATAACAGTCACTTTTGTCTGTCTATTTTTAGCATAAACATTATAAGTGCTAAATTGAAAAATTAAAAATAAAATTAAAAGTAAATACGACAAAAGCCACGATTTCAACATAACAATCAATATTCCTTTGGCCGCTCCTAAGAAACCATTTCACAATAATGTAAGGCTTGCACGAATATGCTGTAATGAAGTTGACTTGTATAAGTATAATGCTGTATGAACACAAAGTTACTTTTACAGGTTTTAAAAAAAAACACAGACTCGTTTGAACAGCCGTCATTCTCAGCATCATAACTGTAGATATGACGATGCTCGTAACAATATAACATAAGAATAAGGAGTTGTGGAATGAGTGTCAATGAGATAACTATCCGCCATGGTCTAAATGAGAAGATGTAAGCACAACTATAGACCACCGTACGGCCTTCAATAATGGCTAAACCCAATTCCATACAGTCAGCTATAAATGGCCACGACATGTATGCGAATCTATGTAAACGAGATAACCAATTTGTGTCACAAAACAATAAACGAAAAATAAATATGACAGACAGCAACCAACAACATCCACTGAATAACAGGCTCCTGCCATGGGACAGGCACACAACGAACGTGGCGGGGCAAATACATGGAATTGAGCTAGCGCACAACCCCCTATATCCTATTACAGAGGTGTAACAGCACAACATAAGACGCTGTAAAACTCAGTTGGAAATTAGACGGAATTTCTCATCCTATCTTCTATTGTGATGTCGTATAATTAGATCTACTACTCGGAAAAGTTTTTACATCTTTTAACAGCAAGCCTTATGGTTACAGGCTTCATAAACTAACCACTTAATGCCGTTATAATTGTTCTATCTTCTGACGATCTCAGGATCTGACTTTACTCACTGTTGTTCTCAAGTGCTGCCAATTAAAATTATATTTTATAGTGAGACTTCATGAAACCAGCTAGGGCGTTGGTTCTGATTTTTTGTTGTTGCTTTTATAGGTAGCAGTTTTTAACAGATAATCTACAGTAGCGAGCCAATTTTAATCTTGCTTTCCCAAAAATGTGACGTCTTTTATTTCCTTATTCCTTATTTATATTTTTATCATCCTTTTGATAACTTGAAATTGCAGGTTAAGTAGTGTACGTTTAATTATATAAATTGTGGTGCAAAGAGGCAAAGGCGGGGGTTTTATACGTTTAACTTGTTTAACCCCACCAAAAGGTGTCCGTTTTGACTGTCGTACTGTCCAATATTTTTGGTAATTCCTGTTAGCCTTTAAATGTGTTATTTAAAAGAAATTTTAGTTTAATGACCGGATAATGTAACAATGCGGTTACGGTTCCTGAAAATGTAACTCACAAGAGTTGACTGAGGTATATACGCATTGTCACCCTAAACTTATCCCTTGTGCGGCGTCATTTGAATGTGTGGGGTATATAAATACGCAGGCACGGCTGATCAGAATGTGGACATTAATATTCGTACGGTATCAATAAGAACAGAACACACACAATAACCGAACACCTTTTCTCCACTTTTTTGAAGCTCTCTCGTAATTACTGCAGACATACA